ATATCCATCCAGCTGGCCTTGACAGATGAGCTTAATCCCAACTCATCCCAGTGCTGGTCACTCCACAACCACACAGAAACACGGGAGAGACCCTTCCAAAGGGCACCAGCGTTTCACCAGTGTAAACAAACCTCGCCTTTACTGGGCAAGTTCTTGCCAATAAAATCTCAAAGAACTGGCATTAAGGTGTGTCCCCCTCCATTTTTTTGCCACCCTGGAGGTGTAACCAAAGCCCTGTTTTCCTCTGCTCCTCACAGCACTGATCTCTGGTGAATTTACTGGGGTGGTTTATTTCCTGTCTGGGAAAGAACAAGAAGTTCTTCCTTGCTACTCTGAGCAATTAAGTATTTTCCTGCACTGGCATGACAAACAGACGAGGCTATCATAACATGAAGAGCTTTCTCAAGTCCAGCTATTCTTCTTTAATAGCCAGCAGAGCACAAACACTTAATTAAAGTTGTCTAGACTAGGAAAAGCCTTAGCCAGGTCATCCTACACCGACCACATCTCGTTTGCAAAAACAAACCCAAGTGCTTTGGCCTTCGGGCCACCGTGCACTCGGGAATGCAAACTGGGGGTTTTTTGCAGCTCCCACAGAGCAGTCACCAGAAAAATCATCGAGGCAGCTCTTTGAAAATGAAGCCACAGCGCTGTGGCTGTTTTGTACAGGTGTGGAAGTGCCACAGAGTGACTCGTGCTCCTCACTGAGACAACTCTGCAGTTCCACCACTGGAGGTCAAGTACAAACATCTCCAACACTTGTGATTTTGTCCTGTCTGAGCTGGGGTTCAGTTCTTAAATACAACTGTTGTTCAACTTTCAAAATAGAAAGAACTTGATGATGGAAGAGAAATATTCTGTTAGTGAGTCCAAACCCTAGATCTCAGATCCCACTAAATCCATAGGAAATCAGGCTTTGATAATAAGGAAATGAGGTTACAAAATGCATTGTTAAGTTAGAAGTGGAAAATTTCACCTGGATCAGAGAAGATATATGTATATATACTTCCAACAGCAGCAACTGTGCTTTGAAAGGAGACGAAATCCTCAGCAATTGCATGATCTCCTATTTTAGCACCTCCACCTGCATCACCTCAAATATGCAGAGCTGTGAATATCAAAACACTCAAACTCCT